GGGGGGGTTCCAGCGGCACGGCGCTCGGCGGGGCGGGGGCTCGGCGGGGGGGGGAGGCGGTGCGGGGCGCGGTGCTCGGGGGGGGTTCCAGCGGCACGGCGCTCGGCGGGGCGGGGGCTCGGCGGGGGGGGGAGGCGGTGCGGGGCGCGGTGCTACGGGGGGGGTTCCAGCGGCACGGCGCTCGGCGGGGCGGGGGCTCGGCGGGGTGGCGCTTTTTTTTGCTGCTTGGGGCAGCAAAAAAGTTAGAGCCGGCCCTGGGTGGCAGAGAGAAAATGGAGAGACCAGTGGAGTTACACAGGTGTAACACTGGTGGAAGTGAGAGAAGAATCAGGCCTATTATCCTCTATAGTCTCCAGGAGTGTGGCATGAAATGAGGCTGAAGGCCAGATCTCAAACGCCTTCTAGGGCCAGATTCTACTCTCAGGTACACCGGTGGAAAATGGAGTATCTCGCCAGGAGTCAATGGGTATGGAACTGGACGGAGAAGCTGGCCCATAACTCAGAAAAGGACAGTGGCTTGGGTTATCCCAGCATTTGTAACAGTGATGTTCTTCTGTGCCTGGTGAAAGCAGCCCCTCCTCCACTCCCCCAGTGTACAGCTGCTGAAGAAGGCCTAGGGATAGTCAGACTCACTGAAGAGCGTGTGTGCGGGGCATGCCAATCTCTATTGTCCCTCGCTGAGGAACATGGCACAGCACAATACAGCATTTCTGCAGCAGGTATTGAGGGATTTACAGAAGCTACCATGAAGCCAGATACCCTCTGAATCCATTTCTCAAAGCACCTGCAGTTTCCATTGGGAGCAGGGGAAGGACCGACATGTTCCAGTCAATGACGGTGACTCTCTTCAGGAACATTGACATAAATGGAAAGTCTCCATAGTTCATTCATGCCGCCTGCCTGGCTTCCTTCTCTCTTTGCTACTTACTGCAGTACGGGGCTGAGGAGGCAGTCACCAAGTAAACCTTCATCTCCTTGGGGAGCTTTGCCATGCTGACTCCACCGCGCTCCAACAGCCCTAGGGGAAGAAATGAAGCCAAGGTGGAGGAGTAAAGGTCCGGAGGGAACAGGTGGCAGGAACACCTGATTCACTTCTCACCTATCCCACTATTTTGATGTGGATCAAAATGGTCTTTACTTACCTCCAGCATCAGTGAGATCAAAGGAACAGGCTCACAGTGACTGCATCCCAGCTATTCTCCACTGCAGGGTTTCACCAGCACACCCAGTGTTACACCACTGTGATCACCAGGGCAGCCAGCAGTAACGAGAGTCATTGGGGCATCCAGGTATGCTCCATGATGACACTATTGTAGCCTCTGGGCCTGATTCCCCACTGCCCTGCAGCCTGTGCCATCCTTTGCATCTGTCCCAAGTGAGTGTAAAAAGGCTTCCCAGTCAGGGTGGTACGGTTTCATGCTCACTTTGTGCAGTGTGTACCTAGGGCAAACAGGCTGGCTGTGCTGGGAGGAGGGCTCGTGACTCCTGTTATGCATTCCCCCAACACCAGAGAAGGTACCATACCTTTCAGGGGCAAAATGCTTCCAGCCAGTGGCTTTCCAGCGGTGCACCTCCTCCCACCCCAGCACAGCTCAGCCTCAGGGGAGCATAAGAGAGTCCTCCCAGTACTGGAATGCAGCCACCTCTGGGGTGAACAGAGCCACTGTTGACCAGCATACTGATGTAGGAGCAATGGGTGAATCTCAAAAGGGTTGAAGTTCAGGTTCAGCTCAGTTTAGGGTAAACACTCTGGCTGCTTCTCTGAACTAGCCAAACTTTTTGATTTAAGTGCACATTGGTTAGGCAGGTAAGTGAACAACATCTCCTATTGAAACTGCAGGTGGGAATGTAAGGGCTTATCCACACAAACATTGATTATGCAGCAAGCTGGGGTGTAAATCTACCCTGCACTATCCTGCTGTGCACTAAGTGTCCATGTGGTCCCTGCTGATACGCACTAATGGTTCATTTGTGCACTTTGATTTACTCCCATTTCATCAAAGCGCACTAAGGAGCTGTTAATGCACATCAGCAGGGTCCACACAGACACTTAGTGTGCAGCAGGATAGTGCAGGGTAGATTTACACCCCAGCTTGCTATGAACTAAATGTTAGTGTAGACAAGCCCTGAGCAGGAATTGAATTATTCACATTGGAATATGGCCAGGAGACCAGGTTTAACACTAGAGTTGGTCCCAAACTACAGAACTTGGATTCTGATCTGAACTCAGATTTCTAACCTGCCGCAAGTTCAGAGGAATTTGGATTCAGGATTTTGATTTAGCCCATTCAGAGGGAGGGGTCAGCTACAAATCTGACCTTTTGCAGACTTTGGCAGGGGGCTAGATCTGGGGACTTTGCTCAGATTCATTTCCTGCCTTTATGAGATGTGCCATCGGGTGTTCAGTGGCCGCAGGTGTTCAGAACCTTGGTTTTACATCTCATCCCACAGATGCACTTGGAATGCTTCCCTGGGCAGGTCTGAAACCCAGTAGCTTCTGACTGTCCCCAGCTCAAAAAAAATCCAATCTAAATGCCTTACCCTGCATCAAAGACCTTCAGGTTTCAACTCTCCTCTCCCTTTGGACAGTGGAGTTCCCAGGCTGGTATCATACCTATTCTGGGACAGGAGAGCAGGAAAGGATTGCTACAGTCCAGGCAGTGGCCAGCAAGGAAATTTTCATGACTTGAGCATGGAAACGCCATCAAAGGACAGGAATTCTCCAGGGCACTGACATAGAGCTGTATCGCCCTCATGTGATCACAGATCAGATAGTTATACCCTGTAAGATAAAGCAAGACTACAGGTAAGGTGACCAGGAAAGGACTGACCTCTTGATCCAATATGGACTCTCTATGCATTTCTAAGGAGCCCAGCACAGTAATAGCTAGGGTGCAAGTTAAGAAGCACTTTATTCTATCTGCGAAGGACACATCAGGTACATTTTTCAAAAGTGCCTAAGCAATTTAGGTATCCAAGTCCCACTGAAAGTCAAGTCACTTAGGTGCTTTTGAAACTTTCATCCAAAATCCCCTCCACTCATCCTTTCCAGGGCAGCTGTGGACTAAGCAAAAGGCTGCAATTCAGGAGTCATAGGTATTAGCTCCCAGTTCTGCCTCTAACTCACTGTGTGACTGTGAGCAATTCACTTAGCCTCTCTGTGCCTCAGTTTCCCAATCTAGAAAATGATGCTACGGATACTCATCCTTCTTTATAAAGCGCTCTGAGACTTATGGATGGAGAGCCCTATATACAGTAAATTCTAAGGCCTAATCCACATTAGAAAAGGTTTGCCAGCAGAGCTGCACTGACAAGCCCTCTCAGTGTAGATGAAGCTTATACCAGAAGAAAAGGTTTTCTGCCATGATAGCTTATACTGGTTCCCCAAATGAAATAAGTGATACTGGCAAAATGACTTTTTTTGCGGGTAGAACTGCATTTACACTAGGGCTTTTGCTGGTATAGAAATATTTTAAAAAATCACCCCCTGGGTACAGGCAAAAGTTTCTAGTGGAAACCTGGCCGCAGTGTGCTTTGTGTTTCGGCTGTTATGTTGTTGCATACCATAGGTAGTGTTATCTGGTCATTCTTCTTCTCTGAATGCTGAGAGGCAGCTTGGGCAAGATGGGCCCATCTTGTATGATACTGTCATGCTATGGCTTGTCCTTTACACGTTTACTGTCCTGCTGTAATGTCTGCCATACCCCTGCCCTGGCTCAGGTGGGAATTGTTAGTCAAGCAGTAGCTTTACAGGCTGATCGATTGGAAGGAAGGGAACTTCCCTTGACAACTTGCTGTGAATCCTTCTCACCTAATGAGGTGAACCGGGGGCATCCAGGCTGGTCTTTGCCTCCATTGATGAAGTAATCAATATGGCCTACAGGAATCCGGATACCAAAACCTGAAAGGAGCAAAAAACCCCGCTGAGCTATTATTCCTGCTCCTTCTTCTCTAGGGAAACATTCTAGAGGAAGCTGCTATTTTCCATGTTCCAAGGTCCTAAGAACAGGATGTACCTAACAGTATCTGAGCTGGCCCCAGGCCCACACACAATATGCTGGTTTCTTCACCAGTCTAATGGAGGATTTCAGGTGTCTTGCCATCTGTTTGCACTGTACAGATTGCTCCATCCTTATGTATTGAAGCATGGAGGAGAATGTTCACCTGGGCCTTTGTTTTAATGGGACTTTAACACTGAAGGAAACTGAATGGGAGAAACCTTAATTTGGGAAATGATTCTCTGGTCACCTTTTTGCTGTTTTTCCTTTACTCTCTTTGCAGAGATCTGCAACTGAATTAGAAGTTGTTTCCCCCTCCCTCATGGGCTACCCTGCCTGATCCCCAGTGATGTCAGTGTCCTGGCTTTGTGATTTCATGGTGTGTTTCCCAGGAAATGACTATGAGGTCATCAGTCACCATTGTGACTTCATTGCAGGAGAAGATGATGGACTGTGATGAAGGGCAGGACTTTTTCCATGTTCTTGCCCTGCATAAGTATCTGTGAGAGGCAGTGATATGTAGTGGTTAGAGCACAGGAGCGGGCGTCAGGAGGCCTAGATTCCATGCCTGGCCCTGCCACTGATGCTCTCTGTATTTTTGGACACATCACTTAATGTCTCTGGGCATCAGTTTCCCCCTGCTGTAAAATGGAAATGATACTGACTTCCCTCCTGGGAGTTATGAAGCTTAATTCATAAATCTCTATAAAGAGCTTTGTGGTCTTCAGAGGGAAGGTGCTACAGAAAGGCAAAGCATTATTATTCTATAACATCTTTCACCTACATTGACCCCTAAGCGCTTTACAAAGGTTACTACGTCATTGTACTATCTCTGGGTCTGATTCTGCTGTTGCTTACACCAGAATAAATGTGAAGTAACTCCCCTGAAGTCAGTGGAAGGAGGAGGAGGCCCTACATACTCACAGGAATCACTGGGAATGTTCAACAGAGCCCATCAGCACAGCATAATAGTTTAGGACCGGAAGTGAAGGAGAATATTGAATTGAAATCTCCAGGGGCATTTTGGGAGCAGTATGTAATGACCAGAGATGACAGAAGGCGAGGACAGTGGGTCTTGCACCCCAACCTTTGCAAAAGCTGCCAGGGAATCTATAATGGCAATATATTGTCAGGGCCTCAGGTTGCTCGGGAATTGAAAGTGAACCTTCTCTCCTGCCCAACCTTGGAGGAGCTGGACTGATTAGTTTCAGCAGAAACAATCTTCTCCTGGCAAAACCAGGAGCTATGCTGAGATGGTCCCAGCAGAAGCTCTCTCTGTGTGTTCCTCCATCTGACTTCCTGCCCATTCATTGATTCTGCTACTTTCAGATGCTGGGGATGAAGAGAGGCAAAGGGAGGAGCAGTATTTGAGAATTGTTTGACATTGTCTGTGTCTACACTGGGGACATTTACAATGTAATTCTCAGGGGTGCTATTGTTGGTGGGGCTTCTAGTAGAGACAAAGCTCTCATGGCCAGATTTATTTTTACTATCATTTGAGTTAAGCCTTCTGGAAAGCAAATCTAACCAAAGCACATCCACATCCTACTGTGAGACTTGAGCCTATTATCTTCTGACCTAGAAGGAAGAGCCACCGAGGGCCAGATTAACCCAACTCTGGGTCCCAGGCAAGCATACACTTTCTGGGCCCCTATCTTCTAATAACAAACAGTGCTATAGTCTGCTCACCTCAGCCGGGCTGGCCATGCTGTAGATCTGCCAGGACTGGCTACTCGTCTTGCCGCTGCTTGGGGCACTGCTCACCGTGACTGAGGGGCAGCCAGGCCAAACTTGAGGGGGACTGCAACCTGGCGCACCAGGTTGCAATGCCACTCACTCAAGTGAGTGAAGTTCTTTCAGTTTGCACACAAATTTGCATTGGTAAAAAAATCACCTCCCTCCTGCCCCCTCCCCCAAAATGTGGGCCCTGGGCGGGTGCCTGGTTTGCCTATGTGTGAATCTGGCCTTGGAGTTAGCTGCTGGGCCACACTGACAGCTATACACTAACCACGTTCCTGGGCATTAATGATGATGGCAGGGAGGGGAGAAGCAGTGGGCTGAAAGGAATAGAAACCAGATTACTGTCTGTATCGGTGTGAATGGCTTCCACAAAGAGAGCATCTCCAGGATCCAGGCGCTCCTCACGGCCGGCTTTTGTGTACTTGGGCCCCGCAGGATCCAGCCCTGTACCAAGATAGAACTAAAGTCTTAACAGCAGACACACTGCCACCCTCTTCCCCCTAAGAGCGCCAGTGCAGACTCTGGAACCAGCCTTGGGTTGGAAGAGTTTAGGTTAGCATCAAGAAATCCAGATGCTGATCCAAATGTCTTAAGGCTGCAAATGGGAACAGGAAATTGGATATAATTTCTGGTATGCTTGTGAAATCACAGGGTGGGAATGAGTGGGGAAAGGGAATTGCCAGAAGGTATTGATGCCTGTAATTTACCTGGCAGAGGTAAAAGGGGAGAGAAGGAAGACATATATTGAGCTACTGTTACCAGTTAAAGGTTCAGAAAGGGCAGAAGGCCTTGAATGTGAGGTTGGTGAGCATGTAATTACTGGGGAGGAAAATGATGCTACTTTTATAGGCCTGGCGAGGATGTAAATAATAATGTTACTGTTGAAAGTGAATCTCAAAATGCTTATGAGGAAACAGAGGAAGAGCAATGCCAATTTCCCCTTCTGCTAAATAATTTGGGCCATAACATATACACAGAACTAATATCAGACTAAACTAATAATCATAATGCACATATTTTTTAAAATGTAGAGGAAGAGGATTGTGGTGCAGGTAGCTAGACAGACTGTCTTGTATGTAATGCACCTCTGAGTGTAAAGTGTGCCCTGTGACTGAGCTAGCTCAACATGGTAGCTCTACAGAGTGAGTCACACACACTGTGCTCTCTCTCTCCTGGGAGCTGTACTGTTGTTCCTGCTTGTTGTTGTTCTTCCTTAATCGGAAATAAAAGCTATTCACTTGAAAGCATGTCTTCTGTTCTTTTTGTATTGGAAACATAGGAGTGATCTTTGTGCTGCGGGGCCAGCAAGAACCATCTGACGCAAGCTTTTTTGTGGTTCTCCTGGTACCAACCAGGTCCAATTAGGCTTCCCAGCCAGGACATTTTCCCTCTAAGATGGTACAAGCTCTGAGCTGAAAGGGTCAGCTCTTCATAATTCATTCCTATTGCTCTCAGTCACACACAATCCTTTGGTATTGGTCTGAACATACAAAACTATTCTCAAGCATTAACACTTTGATTCCCATGGGGTCTAGATTTCCCATCGTTAACTGACGCTGCAGTGACAACTGGTCTCCACCCACCAAGTAAGTGGTGTGAATTCTATTATTTGACTGTGTGTGAAAATATTACGGGCTCTTCACAGTCTGAACAGTGAGTCCTGCAAGTGGAAATCCTGTGCTCATCAGAGGGTTGCTGGCCATTATTCCAAGAAAAAACATTCCTGAACCGCTCTGTAGCTCAGAAGTACCCACAAGCCCAAGACTTCTCAGCTAAAGGACCATTATCATCAACCTTGACATGCTCTTTCTGTCCTCACAATTCAGGGCCATTGGGAGAATCCTGGACCCAATGTTACAATACCTGTAATCCTTCCCAGCTGGCCTCCATGGAACTGCCCCACCAGACCTGCAACATGTGCTCCAAGGCTCACCCCAATGAGGTGGATAGATGTCCTTGACACTCCGAGTTTCTGAGGAGTTGATAATAATAGTTAGTACTTTTCATCCCAGGGTCTCAAAGCACTTTTCAGAGATGAGTCTCTATTATTTACCCCCATTTTACAGATAGGAAAACAGAGGCACAGGGAAATGTGATCTACACAGTCACACAGCAGATCAGTGGCAAAGCCTAGTTTGCTGACCCCCCGTCCTGTGCACTGCTCCTGGGCTGCACAGCTTCTCTCAGTGCATAGGGTGGGTAACCAGAAAGAAATGAAGAGTGGTGGATATTATCCTTACTTAGTTCTTTCTGACATATTGATCACGGACACAAGATCACTCCAAGTCAGAGTGGTCATCTCCTCCAGCCCCCTTCATGTTCCCTCCCCTTGGGCTATCTTCACTCTGGAGCACTTCCCTAGGAACCTCCTAGTTGGGTGACACTGCCCCATCACCTGGATGTCCCTTCAGCAGGAACAAGAAGGACAAGGTCTCTCTCATGGCTTCGTCAACTCCCCACCCCATGCTGATGTTGTTTTCTCTCATTTCATTGGTTTTAGTTGCATAGGTTAGATTCTATTGACTTGAATGGGACTAAAGCACTTACTTCAGTGTTTTCTGAATAAGGGTCAATATGATGTGATATGATACCATGTGCCCTAGTTAAATACAATGGAATGCAACAGGGCAACACATTCTGAGGCAATACAGTATAATGGGACAGGACACAACACATTTATCCTACCACCTCGGCTTTGATAGTGTTTGAGACCCACTTTTCACAGGTGTAAACAATGACACAAGGGGAAAGCAATGGAGGATCAAGGCCTGTACCTGCAATATGTGAGGATACAATACTGTGCGGGGCCTGTGATATAGACAGGACAATGCAGTATGGTACAATGCAATATAGTGAAACACAATGCTAGGCACTACAGTATGTGACAATGCTATACAATAGGGTAAATGAGAGGGGGCAAGAGATGGAGAAAGGCAGTATCCTTAGTACACAGACCCATGGAGTGATGGGTTGGAGCAGCAGATGACAGCTCAGTGCACAGCTGGGCTGTGATACTCAGGAGGAAGAGGATCTGGGTATCTGGGAAGACGGAGAGTCTATTTGGCCACTGCAGTGAGCTTATTATGGAATAAACAGCAGAGGTCAGAGTGGAAGCTACTGTCTGGGTTGGTTTGCATTCGCACCTGTTTCTGTCCCTTGGTCATGCTCCTCCCACTCAGACATTCATTTCCACCTACCAGCAACTTGCTGATGAAAAGAGAGATCTTTATGCTCAGCTCTATGACATTTTCCACAGCACCAGGGTAGGTTCTTGTAGCTCCATTAACCCAGTCAACTGCGACCACATTCACCTTGGCAGCTCGGAATAATGCACCCATGAGTCCATTGATCCAGGAGGGCTTTTTGCCCAGTGCTCTGGTGAGTCATCAGAAATAAATATGTCAGATGCCTTCCAAAATGGGGCGCACACACATGCAGACTTCCCCTCTGGGGTGGGGTCTCAAAATCTCCCTGCTGGGACTGCCATACAGTAGGTGAAAGTTTTGTCTACTATCAGACAGCCCCAAACAGTCTTCCTTCACTGCAGTTCACAGACTGTTTTCACCTATAGCCATCCTGTCCATTATGAGTCAGAAAGAAATCAGACATTTACATGACCAAAACTAACACCTGCAGTGACAACAGCTCGAGTGAAATTGCCAGAGGTATCAGTCTTGCTGTAGTGCTTAAGCTGATCACCAGCTGAGGTCAAGAAGAAATTTCCTTCCATAGAGAGAGTATAGTCTAGTGAACAGAGTAGAGGTCTAGGCACCAGGAGCTCCTAGTCCCAGCTCTGCTACCAGCTGGTTAAGAGACCTTGGGCAAGTCGCATAGGCCCAGATTTTGAAAGGCATTTAGCTCTGGAACACCAAATTGATTTAGAAGTCTAAATCCCATTCTTAAAAGGGATTTAGGCACTTAAGAGCCAAAATCCTGTCAATTGTCCTTGGTATTTGGATTTTGGCTGCCAAGTGCCTAAATCCCTTTTAAAATGAGGTTTAGTCTCCTAAATCAGTTGGGCATTACAATGCTGAGTGCAGCGATGCCTAAATACCTTGAAAAATTTGGGCTTTAATCTCTCTGTGTCACAATACCTCTTCCATAAAATGATATGTATTTACCTCTGCGTGTATTTTATTTATTCATTTCATTTTATAATATCTCACCCTTCATGGAAATTAAACTAACATGATTTAAAATCGACTATGGGCTGGCTGATGCTCCCACAATAAAACAAACCCACCAAATGGCCACAGCTTTAAAAACTCTGGCTCAAACTCCCTGCCTCCATGATGAGAAGAAGAAAGGTGGGTTTGGCAGGCTTCCTAGTAGGTTAAGAAATTCAGGCACTGAATGGCTGGGGGGAAAAGAGGGAGAAAACTCCAAAGCAAAGACTCTTAATGAAGAAAAATAGTAAAAAGACAGGGGGAAAGACTGAATTTTGGGAGTGGGTGGGGGGATATCCCTGGTTTTTTAAACCTGTGGAAATTTGAAATTTTAACATTTAATTGAAATGTTGAAATTTGAAGTATTTTGACCAGCTCTGCAGCTCGTCTCAAGATGAGGGTGAATTAAAGTCACAAAAAGTATATTAACATTTTCTCCTTTTTTTTTTGGTTGGAATTAGAAATGTTGACTAGATTTTTCACTGACATTTTGAAATTCAGCTCTTTTGACATGGAATATCTTCCCCTCCAAATTAAGCACATTGCCTGATTATGGATTATAAACTCTTTGGGGCAGGGAATATCATTTCATTCTAGGTTTGTGCCGTGCCTACCATCCGGGGGTTCTGGTCCATGACGAAGGCTCCGAGATGCTATGGTAATACAAATAATAAATAATAATAATAATTGCTGAGGTATGCCATGAGGAGAGAGAAGGAGATCTCTGAGGTAGCTGGGACTGAAAGTGTCCAGCTCAGTTTATGCTTACGTGAAGCCATGAATTATTATCTTGGTGTCCAGGCTAGTATTGAAGCTGGAGTTCTTGATGCCATCGCCAGGTGATATCAGCTGCCCACAGCTGGGGTTTGAGGAGGTGAACAGAAGAAACTGGACCTTAAGTTTCATGCCCTGTAAGAAGCTTGCAGTCTGAAAGTCAGAGCAGGGCTGCGCTGGGACATAGGTCTCATGCCCTGCAGTGAGAAAGAAACAAAAACATACATGCCTAGTCTGTGTATGCCCACTGGGAAAGAGCAAATGGAGGGGAGGGGGATGAGGGCTTGTAGTTAGGGCACTGCACTGAGACATTGGAGAGTGGGGTACAATTCTTCACTCTACCACAGCCTTCCAGTGTGATCTTCAGCAGGTCACTTAATTTTTCTGTGTCTCCTTTTCCCACGTAAAATGAGGATAGTACTCTTGTGGCGCTGAGGCCTGTTGATGTTTCACTACTGTGTGTCAGCAACTCATCAGTCCTGACTTACTCACTGCACCTAACACACTGTTGTCATAATCTATCGTATACAAACTGACAACATGCTGGTCCCAAAAATCATTGCGTGGTATATACACAAGGATGTACAGAGAGTTATAAATATGTGCTGGAATTATGTTCTTAAAATGTGCTTGCCAATAATACATAAGTCCAGTCTGCCCTAGACAAAAAAGTGTATATTTGCTTTTCTGACCAGCCAGGCAGAGACAATGAAGGTACATCTACATAAAAGGTAAACAGAGCTGACAAGTGGGGGAGAAAACAGCCTGGTGTCTACACCCCAGCAAGAAAGAGAAACTTCATCTGGGCTTCCTCTTCAAGAATACATTTCAAAGGTTTACTAGACTATGGCAAGAGGGGGAGAGAACCACTAATTTAAGTTATCCTTCACCTGAGGAGACAAAGAAACCAAGCACTTTGAGATCTGAGAAGGGTCCTGGCTAAAAAAACTGGTCAGCCAGACTGGAAGAAAGATGGGTGAGAAAAACTTCTTTGAACAAAGGACTCTAGCTTATTAAGTTAGATCGACGTCTTAGAAGCGTATTCTTACTTTTGTTGTTTGTAACCATTTCTAGCTTTATTCCTTATACTTGGTATCACTTAACCCAATATCCTTTTATTAATAAACGTACCTCTTTTTTTTTTACTATAAATCATCTCCGTGCTTTAGTTGAAGTGGAAGGTTTGTCAACACCAGTTGAGTTAATCAGCTGCCGTATACGGTCTCTTTTCAAGGAGCAGTGAACTATATAAAGTTCTGTGAGTGCTACAGCCAGAGGGGCTGAGCACTGTGGATAGATGTCTCTGGGGAACTCGGGAATTGGGGTTCACTGATTGTTACCTGCTAGGCAAGGCTTGGACTGGCAGGGTAATAAAGAGTTTGCTGGCAAGACAGACAAGCTGGTGTGGCAGGGATCTGACACACGCAGCTCAGCCGCAGCAAAGCTCTCATTTGCTGAGGCTGGGAGGAGTAACAGTGTTTCTTAGGCTTGGAAACCCCAGCAGATAGATCAACTAGAGTGTAACTATTCAGATTGGGATGTTTTGAGGGCAGGGACAGCCTTTTGCTCCGTGTTTGTACAGCACGTGAGCCTATGAAGTTCTGATCATGAATCACTGGCTTCAGAAAGGCTCAGACTGTTGACATATCTCTGTGAAGCACATGCCCACTCTGGTCTGTGTAATTCTTGCGTGTGTTTTTCCATCTCCACCCTCCAGCATACCTGGCTACTCTCTCTTAGTCACTGGAGATCTAGAGATGGCTCTCTGCAGATCCTATCAGCAACACAGTGAGCACCAGCAAGAGAGGATCACTCAAGAGCAAAGGAAGGTCCCTCTTCAGTCTCTTAAGGCAGAGCTCCCAGCCCCCACCTCCATGACAACACATCTGCTACAGTGCCCCAAATGGATGTTTATTCTCTGTGCTGCATTTGTCATTCTGAAAGCAGTATAAGCTCCCTGTCAACATAGGCTGTTATATTGGTCTAATTAGAGTGGTATAATTATGCTGGTGTAGTTAGGCTGGTAAATTTCCCCATGTAAACAAGGCCTTAGTGTTTTGTTTAGTCCGTCACCATAGTATGCAATCTGCCAGGTATATTGTGACGTTAAATGTATTATTATTTGTAAAGTGCTTTAAAATCTTTGCATGGAGAACACTACAGAAATGCTATGTTTTTATATGCTCAGTGACACTTTTACATGTATGCATATATTGTGCAGAAATGACATAGGTGACAATTTGAAAATGTGCCCTTTAGGTCATATTCATCCTTGGTGCAACTGTGGTGCTCTGTACCTCGGGGAAGCACTCAGCACCCCCATGTTCATCCTTATAAAATGATTGTGTGGTATCCAATGCAAAGTTTGTCATGTCTGGTGTCTTTGGAAGGCTCATGATGCACTGAACATTGTTGTTGTAGTAATGTCATAGGTTGTAATTTCATGTATATAGTTATGAGGCTGAAAATGTGTCCTCATGGCTTAAAACAAGCCCAGGCAAAACTCTCCAGGAACAGAGGGGCAGTTCACACCTCATCAGGACATGTATGAGACAAACCCAGCCCAGCCTGACAGGAACAACGTACACTGGCCTAACCAGCAACAAAGGATCTGTTGGACTCTCGTGTGAGTCACCCCCCTTCCCTTGGTCAGTTTGGAACTATGATGAGGTAATGCTCACCTGACTCTGAAGGGGGGGGGTCAAAGCCAAGAGGGAAGAAAGAACATGATAAAATGGAGAGATGTTTGCCATGCTCTCTCTCTTCCACCTCCGTCTACAGACACCCACCAAGCAACTGAAGCTCTGATCAAAGGGGAGAGCCTGGTTGAAGGGCAACCAGTCAGACTGTGGTGAGACGTATCTAAGTTTGTAAGGGCAGTGAAAGTGTTAAGATCAGCTTAGAATGCGTTTTGCATTTCGTTTGACCAAATCTGACTTCTTGTGCTTTGACTTATAATTACTTAAAATCTATCTTTTGTAGTTAATAAATTTGTTTGTTTATTCTACCTGAAGCAGTGCGTTTGGTTTGAAGCATGTCAGAGACTCCCCTTGGGATAACAAGCCTGGTGCATATCAATTTCTTTGTTAAATTGACGAACTCTTATAAGCTTGCAGCGTCCAGCGGACATAACTGGACACTGCAAGACAGAGGTTTCTAGGGTTGTGTCTGGGGCCAGAGATATTGGCTAGTGTCATTCGGTTGCACAATCCAAGCAGCGGCTGGCCAAAAGTGCTCACTCGTGTAGCTTGCATGCCAGAAGCTGTGCGTGAACAGCCCGGGAGTGGGGGTTCTCTGAGCAGAGCAGGGTAAGGCTGGCTCCCAGAGTTGAGGATTGGAGTGACCTAGCAGATCAACGGTCCAGATAACACCAGGGGAATGTCACAGAACCCCACTGAAAAGCTTGACTCTTCTCCATGCTCATTCTCTCTCCACTACACCCTAAACTTTCTTTCCTTCTCTAAACAACCTTGAAGCCATGTTTAAAACAGAAACAAGAACTCCCCTTATAAATCACTCATTATCATAGAATCATAGAATATTAGGGTTGGAAGAACCTCAGGAGGCCATCTAGTCCAAGCCCCTGCTCAAAGCAGGACCAACACCAACTAAATCATCCCAGCCAGGGCTTTGTCAAGCCTAACCTTAAAAATCTCCAAGGATGGAGATTCCACCACCTCCCTAGGTAACCCATTCCAGTGCTTCACCACCCTCCTAGTGAAATAGTGTTTCCTAATATCTAACCTAGACCTCACCCACTGCAACTTGAGACCACTGGTTCTTGTTCTGTCATCTGCCACCACTGAGAACAGCCGAGCTCCATTCTCTTTGGAACCCTCTTTCAGGTAGTTGAAGGCTGCTATCAAATCCCCCCTCACTCTTCTCTTCTGCAGACTAAATAACCCCAGTTCCCTCAGCCTCTTCTCGTAAGTCATGTGCCCCAGCCCCCTAATCATTTTTGTTGCCCTCTGCTGGATTCTCTCCAATTTGTCCCCATCCCTTCTGTAATGTGGGGACCAAAACTGGATGCAATACTGCAGGTGTGGCCTCACCAGTGCCGAAAAGAGGGGAATAATCACTTCGCTTGATCTGCTGGCAATGCTCCTACTAATACAGCCCAATATGCCGTTGGCCCTTGTAGCGCGGCAGCGACACACAAACACGGCGCCTCCCGCTGGTTGTCCTGGGAATTAGCTCTCCAGCCTTTGGAGCACCCTCTGCTGGCCGATGTCCCGCTTGCCGCTGCCCCCCCGTGTCCCTCCCGGACCCGCTGCCCCTTTACCCAGGGGTTATGCCCACTGCAGCAACCCACAATCTGGGTCTCCCTACTCAGGGGAACCCTCAACCCCATAGCCCCACCTCGCCTCAGTCTGTGGCTACTGCCAGTCACCATCTAGCCCCCGCTCACTGGGGCGGACTGCAGTATAAAAGCCACTCATCACAGGCAAGGGAGTTTGGACCTGCTGCCTCTGCCTACCCTTGACTGCCCCTCTGCAACCCCAGTATCTTTCTGGCCTTTATCAAGTTTCCAGGCTGGAGCTCCCCAGCTCCTCTAGCCTTTCCCCAGCCCTGCTCCACTCAGGTACCCTGTTCAGCTCCCAGGAGCCAGGCCCATCTCTCTCAACAAGCTAGAGAAAGACTCTGTCTTAACTCCAGCCTACCAGCCCCTTTATAGGGCCAGCTGTGGCCTGATTGGGGTGTGGCCCCAGCTGAGGCTGTTTCCCCAGTCAGCCTAGGTTCTCTACCACAGCCCTCTCCCAGGGCTGTTTTCAGCCCATCAGGGCAGGAGTGGGGGTTATTGCCCCGCTACAGCCTTCTTGGCAACAAGGGCACACTGTTGACTCATATCCAGCTTATCATCCACTGTAATCCCCAGGTCCTTTTCCGCAGAACTGCTGCTTAGCCAGTCGGTCCCCAGCCTGTAGCAGTGCATGGGATTCTTCCTTCCTAAGTACACGACTCTGCATTTGTCATTGTTGAACCTCATCAGATTTCTTTTGGCCCAATCCTCCAATTTGTCTAGGTCACTCTGAACCCTATTCCTACTCTCCAGTGTATCTACCTCTCGCCCCCCACCCCCCAGCTTAGTATCATCTGCGAACTTGCTGAGGTGCAATTCATCCCATCATCCAGATCATTAATAAAGCTGTTGAACAAAACTGGCCCCAGGAGCCATTGATCACTACCCGTTGAGCCCGACAATCTAGCCAGCTTTCTATCCACCTTATAGTCCATTCATTCAATCCATACTTCTTTAATTTGCTGGCAAGAATACTGTGGGAGACCATATCAAAAACTTTGCTAAAGTCAAGATATATCACATCCGCCACTTTCCCCTCATCGGCAGAGCCAGTTATCTCATCACAGAAGGCAATCAGGTTGGTCAGGCATGACTTGCCCTTGGTGAATCCATGTTGACTTGTTCTTGATCACCTTAATCCCCTCCAAGTGCTTCAAAATGCTATCCCAACTGAGGACTCTATAAAAATATCCTGTAGGGACCATTACTGAATGTTGCAAGGAACTGAGAGTGAAGGGACTCAGGGCCCACGTTTCCCACTGCAGGATATGAGAACCTCCCACTGAAATCTATTTGGGACTTACCCATGCCTGTGTGGACGGGGAAAGGAGAACTGGGCCCAGGGGTTGCATTTCTGACTGCGAGTGATCAATGGTATGGTTGAAAGGACAGTCCTGTGCCTTCCATGAACAGCAATTGGCAGCAAATGAGGGAAGGAGCAGGGAGTTACGCTGTAGGAAGTGCAGGTTCCATGGGATTTTAGCATAAGAGAACAGTTTTTCAGTGATTTTTTTTAAACCAACCATAGGGTCCCATATCTTCTTTCAGATCAGACATGCTCCATTTTCAAGATCGAAGTCGGTTTTCTAATTTACCAAGCCTGCCAAACTGAACATCCCATCTAGCACTTTCTACCTCATACTTAACTACTGCTAATAAAGATTTTGCAGTGTAAACTTAGTTGATCGTTGGGTTGCTGTAATTACTTTTGTAAAGCCAAGTTGGTGGACCTGCCTCACAGACACGTGTGGTGGAACCAATATGTGGGGTAAGAAAGGGTCATTTCTACAATCACTTTTCTTACCAAAACTCACTTGGCTCTAGCAGGGACCTGATATACATGTTGGATTGTGTAGTGTAGGGACCATCAGTTGAATTCACTGCCAGAATCTACATCTGTCAAATCTTCCAATTCCTTGCCCACCACCTCTGGCACATGAGCCTCCACCAGTACCCTCCTTACCTGCACATGCTGAGCTGAGCAACAAGACAGCAGCAAGAACAAAGAGAGGCTTCTTCCTGGGATCATCAGCGTTCTTCCTGGTCAATCTTCCCATGCTGTAATCCACAAGGCCTTCACCAGAGGCGAGGGAAAAGCAAGCCCTCTGCAACAGGAGCCTTCTGAGCAGGTTGGTTCTGTTAATGTTTAATACAGCCTGTGTTTTTTTTGGAAAAACGTGGGAGCCCTTGCTTGATTATTGGCCAAAGTCACAGCAACAGGCATAGAACATTATTGATTCTCACATAAAGGACATTGAACCCATTCCCCTCTCCAAACAAAGTCAGAAGTCAATTACTGGCATAGAATCATAGAATATCAGGGTTGGAAGGGACCTCAGGAGATCATCTAGTCCAACCCCCTGCTCAAAGTAGGACCAATCCCCAGACAGATTTTTTTTTTACCCCAGTTCCCTAAATGGCCCCCTCAAGGAGGGAACTCACAACCCTGAATTTAGCAGGCCAATGCTCAAACCACTGAGCTATCCCTCCACCCGACATGGCATGATTAACACAAGCTCAGTTCCTGTCATTGTAATAATGATATACTTCTATAGCCCTTCCATCCAAAGTCCATTCAACTGTTAATGAATTAAAGCCCCAAAGCTCCCTGGTAAGGTATGGAAATATTGTCATCTTCATCTTATGGAGAGCGATGAAAATCAGTTATTGGTTGGTAGCCTGAGATCACATATACTCAGCCCCCGGAGCCAGCCCAGTGAAAATGAGCAAGGGAGTGAGGGTGGGGAGAGTAAGCGACAGAGGAAGGGGAGGATGGAGTGAGCAGGGCCGGGGCCTCTGAGAGGGGACAGGGCATGGGCAGGGCCTCGGGGAGGGGCAGGCAGGGGATGGGGCAAGGGTGTTCGGATTTGTGCAAGTAGAAAGTTGGCAACCCTATCTGCAGATTAGGCCACTTACCTAGAATTCTATAATCTAAAGCAGTGGTTTTCAAAAAAAAATTCTGGCGACCCAGTTGAAAAAAATTGTTGATGCCCGCGACCCACCGGAGCTGGGGATGAGGGGCTTAGGGTGCAGGAGGGGGCTCCAGGTTTGGGGTTGCTCAGGGCTGGGGCAGGGGATTGGGGTGCAGGAGGGGGTCAGGGCTCTGGACTGGGGGTTCAGACTCTGGGGTGGGGCTGGGGATGAGGGGCTTGGGGTGCAGGAAGGGGCTCTGCATTGGAGGGGGCTCAGGGCTGGGGTAGGGAATTGGTGCTCGGGCTTACCTCAGGCGGCTTCCAGTCAGCAGCGCAGCGGGGGTGCAGAAGCCGGCTTCCTACCTGTTCTGGCACCACAGTCCAAGCTGCACCCCGGAAGTGGCCAGCAACAGGTCCGGCTCCTAGGCAGAGGCGCACAAACGGCTCCGCGCGGCTCTTGCCCACAGGTACCGCCTCCCCAGCTCCCACTGGAGCTCAGTGCTCAGGGCGGGTCAGCACATGGAGCCCCATGGCCTCCCCACCTAGGAGCTGGATCTACTGCTGGCCACTTCGCGGGGCGCAGTGTGGTGTCAGAACAGGTAGGGATTAGCCTGCCTTAGCCTGACTTTTAATGGCCTGGCCGGCGGTGCTGACCAGAGCCGCCGTGATCCAGTGCCTTCCATTCCATAACCCAGTACTGGGTCATGACCCACAGTTTGAAAACCACTGATCTAAAGCCAGGCATCTAAAATTCAAAAATGTTGGTGTGAGTGACTTTACAATGTTGCATAGCAAATTAGGGTAAGAACATTATTGGGCTCAATACAGGGTAACTGGGTAAAACTTGATAGCCTGAGATACAGAGGAAGTGAGACCTTAAACTCTATGAATCTATGAAACTCACATTAGAAACCAGGACTTCCTGTTCCCCAGCCCCCCTTCACCGCTTCAGTCACTAGACCGCACTGCCTCTCAAAATAAGGCAGTGGCAAAGTTTTTACTTTAACGAGACCACTCCTGCTTGCTTTACACGCATAGCCCCACAGATTTCAGTGTGATTGTTGATGAGAAAGGATATGAGTGAAGCTTGCAGGATCATGCTCCAAACTATTAAACTGATCTCATAAATTTAAAATATAGTCTCCATAGCAACAGTATGGGTGTATCAACACTGTGTTTATTCCTTATAATAGAACAGAACAGACCACAAGAAGGAAACTAATGAACTTTTCCTTCCTTTTTCAGTTGAAACCAAGATAACTAAACCTTCTTTTTAGCAGGATTCATTAGTTAATATTTATCAAGTGCTTTGAAAATATATAGCACTATATCATAAGTGCTGAGTATTAGTATTACAACATTATGTTAATACAAACCTACAGGTAAAATGCACGGAAGAGATGTATGTGTCTTCACAGCATTGTACGTACTTTCAGAGCTGTGTAAGGAACCGATGCATTAAATGCTACCAGGTTACTTTAAAGGGCCAATTTCCTTTTTTCAAATTACAGGCATGTTTCTGGGAGGTTTTTTGTCAGTCATTGTGATGATTTTGGGAATTTGACTATGTACAAGCTACAAGTTCTGGTTCATTTGATGAAATTGCTGAATCATCAAATTCCTAAGGGCTTGCTTACACTAAAGAGCCTTTTTCAAGATAGGTTTCAGAGTGGTAGCCGTGTTAATCTGTATCAGCAAAAACAACGAGGAGTCCTTGTGGCACCTTAGAGAGCTTGAAAGCTTATGCCCAAATAAATGTGTTAGTCTCTAAGGTGCCACAAGGACTCCTCGTTGTTTTTTCAAGATAGTTATGTCAGCAAAGCCCCCTATGTAAATGCAGGAGCATAAGCCAATAAAAGGTGTTCTGACAGCATTGCTATACCACCTCCCGGAAAAATATTGTCTAAATCAACAGAACCATGCTTGTGTCCATATAGCTGTGTCTATCCCAGGGTTTTTGCAAGTATAGCTAAGTCAGCTAGGGTGTGTGTGTCAATTCCCCCACCCCCAACACACACTCCTAGCAGACATAGCTATACCCACAAAACTTTGTCGTGTAGATCAGGCCTCAACATATAGTGAGTTTGTCATGGGCTGATAAGTTCCCTGACACACATCACCTGCCATGTCTGGAAGAAGCTACAGAACCAGGGGTGCCAGAACAAGGCCATGGCCCCCCACTTTTTACTGGCCATAATGGTGAGCAACAGGGAGGAGGGGTAGAGGGGTGGCGTGGCATGGTGTGGCATGGGGGATGAGGCCACAGTTTGGGCATCTGTGCCCTGCCTCCCACACTTTTAGGGTGCTTCTGCCACTCCTGTACAGAACAAACAAAAAAAGTTGTTAATATAAGGACTGGGCTCTGGCTAAATGATGATATATGCCTCAGCTGGGAGAGCAAGTTCTACCCAGGTGGTTTGATGGCAGAGGGGTTTGGAGACTGGAAAATCCCCAAACAGGGAAACAAAAACCAGGTGGGAGTGCTAGCTTTTAAAAAGAGGCTGAATGAGGGGGTGGGGAAGGCACAGGCTCTTGGTGGGAGATGTAGGAGCAGCCCACGTCAAAGGAAGCGAAGAGAGACGGCAGACTCCAAAATCCAGACAGGAAGCCCAGAGGAAATTGCTCCAGGAGAGGGGACTTGGAACCTTGAAAGGATGCTGTCCCACATCTTGAACACTGAAGCAGGAAATGGCATATAGAGGTCTTATTGTCTTGTCTGGATCTGTATATATCTTGTGCTGTCCACAGTAAAGAGTGATTGGTTTTTTTGGAACCCTTACAAAGCCTGTGTGTCTATTTGCTTCAGCTACCAAGTGCCCCTGGAGCTATAACTGTAAACCAGAGTATGCACAAGCTTGGAGCTCTGGAAATAGGTGTGATACGCTACTGGGGTGTCTGGGCGCGTGCGTGTCAGCACTGGTCCTGGGATCCTAGGACATTTGGGCTACAAGGGGTAACAGTCTGGATGCCCAGGAAACATGCCAGAGAGGCCAAAGAGACAGCGCTGGAGCCTATCTATGTTCAGGGAAACTTAAGAGGACACAGGTGTAGCATAGTGGGACCCAAACACAGCAGTCTGGTGAGTGTTCCGCAGGGGAAGTGTGACCGGGGCTGTGACAGTCATATGCTTAAATTTAATCCAGTGGTTCCCAAACTGGGGTTCGTAAAATGTTTATGCAGATGTTTCATATATAAAAATGTCATGCTTGTGCCCTTTAGACACATGTGCAGGCAAACTATAAAAATGCATCTAACAGCAGAAAATGTCAATTCTTCACTTGTTAAAAAAAACCATCAGGTGCCCTGAAGAAATATATAGGCCTTGCAATGTGCCCAGCGTCAGTACATTGGGGTTCTGTCAGAGTAAGGAGAGGGAAGCAAATAATGTAGTCTGCAGAAATCAGCTAAGATTTGAAAGCTGCTATTCGTATGGAAACTGCTCATCGGGGAGCTGGAAGAGACTGGTTCTGTTCTGAGCAAATTATGACCATTTAAAAATTCTGTACTGTGTGCACCTGAGGGACAGGGCAAGGTGCATGCACAGCTAAATTAACTATGCATTTAAGACCTAGCTCCTCAAAGGAGTTTAGGCTCCTCGCTTCCACTGAAATCAATGGATTACCTCTGTGGATCTGACCCTAAACTCCTACATCCCATTCTAGTTTGAAGTGATTCAGGTTCAAATCTTGATGTGCCAGGTACGTAAGCTTTTCAACACAAAGTGGTCGGAGCCCAGTACCACTTCAACTTTAGGTTCCTGGTACCTATTTTCTTCATTTGCTGGTTTCAGCTAGAATGCCTTCCCTGCTTCCTGCAGCTTCTCAGCCAGCCTGCCCTGGCAGACCCAACTGGCAGAGGTGTTTCACATTCAAACCACTTTGAAAATCACAGCCCTTGTCTAGAAAATGAGTTTCTAAGAAGCCCGTGGGATTCAACTCTCTTAGGATTCTTAGGAAGTCTCAGCTTAGGGCTAAAGGGTTGATAAAAGGAAGCAGAAGGGAATTGAAATCTGGGGGTATGGCACTAATGGAGGTTCTGAGGGAACATGGGAAAAGCAGAGAGGTACAGGGATGGAATTAGGAGGATAGTGTAGCCTCTGTTTAAACTGAATGGATAGTTCTGTGTTAAACTACAGTGTCCCTTGGGAGTGAGCTCAGCTCTTGTGTTGCTACAGTCTTAAGATCAATACGCTGAAAGTTACTCTTAGTGATTTTCTTAGATTGGGAGACTCTAGGAACACACAAAGAATGAGGGCTGTGACCACAAACACAGTCACAAGTAAGGAATCTTGTTGTATTATAAGTTTTACTAAGCAGATGATCAAAGTTACAGTCACAAACAAATATATAAAACCTAAGAAAGCCCCTGCAATAGCTAATGCAGTATTCATTCTCACATCCCCAAAGATAGTGTTGAGTCTGATGGCTCTCTTAACAGGTGGTCATCAACAGAGAAGTGA